GTTCTGGGCATCCTGCACTCCAAGTTTTTGGACACCAGTCTGGCATTTCTTAAAAGCAGGTAGACAAGTTTATTTCTACACAAGTTAAGTAATTTGTAAGAGGAAAATTCCTATGTGAGATCCCCTCCCCCAGGTCCATGGCCATACCACCCAGAATGCGCCTGATATCGTCTATGTCCCCACTTCTGGATTTTAAAAAAACAGCATGGATTGATGAGCTGGCAAGGACTGCCAGAATGATCTTTTCACAGAATTCCCTCTCAGAAGTTAAGATTTTGAATCTAGGGCACTTAGACATCTGTACCTCAATGGCGGGAATGTAAGCTTTTGTACTATGAAGACTGTTCAGGCATCTCAAACAAGACCTCAGTGTCATGTTATTTGACAAGAGGTGCATGAACAAAATACTAGTGAGTTTGGAATCAACATTTTTTTTTTTGCACTCAAGCTTTTGTTGCTCCACTGTAGGGATTTCTTTCTTATAGACATCTTGTATCTCTCCCATCTGACACAGCCCATTGGTATCTGACCTGTGCTTTAAAAATAAAATCCGATGTCCTATGACTGGGTGAATCACTTACATGGTTATAGTTTCTGTAGGGGCGTCTAACTGACATACAGGGGAAAGTGGTGTTCCTGTTGTCTGCTTTTATGGTTATAGTTTGCAATCTGTCTTCTTACTGTTATTTCAGAGTCTGCTATGAGTGGCATTTAGAATGTCCTTACTCTGGTACTAAAGACATCCCCAAGAGATAGGTAAAAGGTGAAATGTTTGCCTTTTGAGGAAGGCACTGTTTTGGGGGGAACTGTAGAGTAGAGCTGCTGATGTAATACAATGGTGACTGGGGGTCTGTTGAATAAGATAGATTGGCTTGTTTTGGACTTAAGATTAGCTCCTCTCTTTATTGATGCTATGAAAAATCATTTAACACTGCATAAATGAAATGCTTTCAAACATTTGTTACAAGGAAAGTGTAAGGAAATATAAAAAATGTTGGCATAAAATAATGAAATGGAAAAACTTAGTTATGTCCAGGGGGTTAAGGTAATTAGTGTTTTATCACTGCTTTGGGGTGGATAGGAAGTCCCCTGATTGGTTTAATTGGCCAAGAAAATAGGCTGCTTTCCCTGGACACATCTCCACAGTAGTCTTGCACATCCCAAAGCCTCTACTAATAGTGCCATTTATATAACACATCTGGCACCTCCTCATCCTATCTCTGCAACAAGGGCCACAACAAGATCTTTGTACACTCAGCTGTGCAAAACATGAAGGCAGTCACATACTGAGTGCACAAGCAGCCTTGGTGAGTAGATGCCTCAGGTCCCTGTAAGGCAGGGGGCCTCTGAGCACCTGAGAAGAAACTTTAGTTGAGGCTACATATGGTGTTATTCAATACAAGCTGCTGATAATGGCTTTTTTTATTTGTTCAGAGCAAAAGATCAGGAAACTGATGATGAGGAAAGGAAATACTAACCAGAATAAAACAAATACCAGAAAAATTGGCACCTTCCAGTGTTCTGTGCACCTGACACGAATGAATAAAACTGAGGGACAACATAAAATTCTGCTACTGGGGTTGTTATTATAACTTAAAACTTTATTACTTTGCAGAACTTTTGAACGTTAGCCTCAGTGGTGACATTTGGGAAGATAGCTTAGAAATTTAAGATCTGAATTTAGAACGAGTCTCAAATATTTTCATTTTGGGTTCTTAAAAGTTTGCTAGTAAGGAGGGCAACTAAATATGTTATACCACAAGGACACCATTAGTAAAATGAAAAATAGGAATTTTCACAGCAATTTTCTTGCAGTGCTGGCCACCCTAGACAGTTGTGTACTGTTATTCAGCGACCAACTACTTAGGAAGGGCTGCATCACCATCACTGCAACCTTACAGAAGAGAGCAGTGGCCACTCTGATTCAATAGCAGCTACTTGCAGACATGACAGGGAGCCTAAAGAAAATGAAACCAATACACAGCGGAGTGCCCTTTGCTAAAGTATTGCAGAGTTATGAGGCATGCAATACTTAATAACACGCAGCAGGAAGCTCCTCCAGTTCCCTTAGTACTGCGCTTCCTTGTTGGAAAGTTAGCCTTTGAGACTCTGCATTGCTGCTTTGTCGTTCGTCTCCTCTCAAGCTTCCTTTCTGGATGTCTTTCTCTGCCCTTCTGTGCTTGCTTTATCCATGCTGTATTCTGATTGGCTATGGAATGTTTCTAAGACTCCTTTCCCTCAAATGTAACCTCATTAAGGCTACCTCGCTGGTATTTCCCCATATCCCTAAGGGATTGTTTCCTTAGAGTACAGTTCAAAGCTGTATGGTCCCCTTGTGTGTAAGTATAAGAGGAACCATTTCCTCAACATGAGTCAAAATGTGAAGTGGGTCTTTTCAGGTAGAAGGATTTAGCACACATTAAGTTCACTGCAAACAAAGATTTCTAGTAAAGTATGAATTACCACCGATCTTAGTTTAAGCACTACTAAACAGAACTAATGCAAACGTAGAGACTTTGGGTACTCTTTGCAAACATGTATGACCAAATCCACTGAGTGGCAGGGTCACCCAGAGCAGCAGTGACCGGACTGGGATGGGAACCAACTTCTCAAGCAAGGGGCGGGTTATTGGTTTGCTCCTGCAAAGGGCCGCACACTGACTAGTAGGAGACACCTTGCCTCTTTTGGCTCTAGTGATCTTATTTCCTGTAGGAAAGGATCTGGCTTCATGGCACTTTTTTCCTCTGGCTTCCAAGTGACACTGTCCAAATCTTTGTTTCATTTTAATTTTTCCACGTTCTCTGTAGAGGAACTGGTTCTTCCCTCCTTTGCCTTTGTGCAAGCTTGCCTCAGTGTCTCATTAACAGATGCACTAAGGCCACGCTTGTACTCCTGTGCAGTTGAAAGCGAGGAAGAACATAACATGGCAGGACTTTCCTACTGCTGAAGAATCTCAATCCTCATTAGGTAGCTAAGTGATTCTTAGTGTCTGTATTTTAACAATTGAAAATTTAATCTTGGCATCAGTACAAGGCAGAGGGATGGTTTTCAGAGTGTACTAAATGTTTAAAATTGAATTATGGCTAAGACACAGTTTATATACCTTCTGTGTTACACTACTATTTTTTAAATGAGAACTTTATGAGACTTTAAATCTGTACCAATAACTCTGTTAAGCATGTAATCTTGGTACAAGAAATCTTGACTTTTTAAATCAGTGTCTTCCTTTGCAAAAATGAATATGCAATTCTGGATTCTCCCAAATAATATAGTGTTCAGAGTTGATGTGAAATTAATCAAACCAGATAAAAATAAATTATTAAAAATTCTGATATGTATAAACCAGTTATAGAAGAGGTGAACTTCATTTTAATGGTGAACTTTCATGCTAACTTTATAGTAAAATGGAAACAAACTCATTTTCATATAAAATCTGATTTAATTCAGATATTAAAACATAAAGAAAACATGTCTTTTTCAATCTCGTTGTTGTTCTTTTTAGAGTCCTGTTTTATGTAAGCAGCCTGACCTAACACAAAAGTCTTTTCATGACCCAGAACACTACTTAGAGACAGCCAGTTCTGTTGATAGGAAACATCTGAAATATCAGCTGTGTGATAAAAGGAATGTGTATAAAAAGAAGGCCCTGAGGCAAACAAGCCCTTCTAAGAAGATACCAATTAATCTCACTTCAAATGAAACATGGCCACAAAACAGTACATAAAATAGAGTATCAGTTAACACCCTTCAAATATCTGATGACTCAAAAAAATTATAAAGTGGTTTGACTGAGATAATTCCGAACGGTGATGTATACAATACAGATCCATATTTGTGCATTCTGAGTTTTGTTATCCTGCTACAAGTTCTTCAATGTGTGGCACATACTGTAAAACACTTTGTTCTTGACACACTCTTACATCAATATCATAAAGCCATATTTATTTGAGTGGTACTAGTCAAACTTTATAAAACTGTATGATAAAACTGAGACAGGAAAAACTATGTTGTGGCTTAAAGAAAATTAAAATTATTTCAATGACAAGACATTTTGTTTTCTTTCCTAAATAACCTTAAGGTAAAAAACAACTGTGAAATGTGCTTAATGATACTTAATACAATTAGGTTCCTGGGCTCTACTGATCTGCTAGTAAATATTTTGGTAATACTGTATTTGTGAGAAAATGGTCAAGTATAGATGAGGAACTTTATTACCTATATTAAATTTGGGAGATAAAAGAGAAACAATTACATGAGACTTTTCACTTGGGACCTTGTAGCAGGATGAGCTGAAATAAAGCCTCAGTTGCCAAAAGTTTTAACAAAATCTGATAGTGTTTTTTATTATTTTCCTGGGAGAGAAATAATATGTTGGCTTTGTGAAGTTACCTTAGATTACATGGAATAAAAAACTGGTAATGCTAATTTGACATTAAAAAGTCATTTCCTTGAAGAAATTAACTACTGAAGTATTTCTCAAAAAGGCTCCTTGGTGATTCAAGGTAGAAAAATGCACGTGAAAGTCAGACTGCCTGATCCCTCCCTGCCATTAATTCAAGTAATTATGAGTGGAGCTATATATACTGAGGTGATATACTCTTCGATAATCCATTAATAACACAAAGATTTGTGACTGGACTTAATTACGTCTAGACGAGTGGCAATTTGGTTGGTTCCAACTGTTTTTTACTAAACAAGGCATGGAATTTTGTGCAGTTCTGAAGCCTCTTTACCCTCCACCAACTTGAAAATTCAAATTAGTATTTACACGTGTGCTTTTTGGGTATGGATTAGCCTCCTAAAGTACATAATTCCAATAATTATCAGTGACAGAAGGGATGAATAAATTATGCTTCAAGCATGACAAAATTAACAATAAAATGGTTTGCATAAGCTTTTCTTAATGTATGTGCCTATATTAAATTTAACATTCTATAAAACTGATATGATCCTGAAAGACTCCCAATGAGTTATTAATCTTGAACTGTACCACTGCTTGCTTTAGGACAAAGAATGAAATAACATTTAAATGCTGCAAATGTCATGATGTTTTGAAAAGCTTTTGTAATTTAAGTACAGAGTTATGATGTGAATTGCAAATTCTAACAGCCCGGATGAGTGAAATATCAATGCCACGTTCACTCTTTATACCAGAATTCAAGGATTAAACTTCAGGACTTGTTCACAAAATTAAAGCCCAAACCATCATTCTTTCTCTGTGCTCGAAGCTTAGTGCTAAGGTCGCTAAGTGACGAGAGGCTTTCTTCTTTTTAAAAGAATATTACAAACAGGTTCACCTGGAAATACTGAAGTAATAGGAGAACTCTTCTATTAGTGCATTTGAAGGATGGCATTTAATCTTAATTCATGAGTTTTTACTCTGATTTACTAGGGTGTATGCTATCAAAAAACATTTATACTTCTTTACAATATTTGACCTAAAGGAGAACCATGCTGATTAAAAAGAAGTGGCTTTATGTGTTGCAAAATACTTTTGAGGGCAAGTTCATTATGCTTTCATTTTACTCTGAATGCATTAATCAGTACATGTGTACCAAGTCTGCAAAGATATTGAAATGATAGACACAAGCCATTTTTCTCTTCTGTATCCCATTTGTAGCCTTCATAAGTGTTGGTGAGCATTCTGAACAATGATATTCACATACAGCAAACAGCTGGCGAGGGCAGGAGGAACTTTGTATCCCTTAGGCTCTTCCAGTGAACACAGACCAAATCACTAAAGTGATATTTATCTGAGCCATATTTACTGCTGAGCATAACCATCTCTCATGTATATATTCTAAGAGGCAACTGTACACAGACCAAGGGGTAAGTTCCTTGCATGCAGCTAAGAGTCACTGCAACAGAATCCTAGTCTCAACTCTGTGTTAATTTTATCCACATAAGACATCTTAAGCACTGTGCTTGCATACCTGTCAGCTATTGATAAAGACTCCCAGGGAGCAGTATGAGGGTAAATGAAGGGGAAAAGTGCAAACAGGAGGGCCATTCCTAGATCTTGTTCTCATTAACATTCACTTGACTCCTGAACCATCTATTTCATAGGTTTCTGCCTTATTCAGTTGTGTGTGTATGCGCGCGTGCGCATGTGTACTGACTCACGCAAATGTGTCTGTGAACCAGAATCAGGGGTATGACAGCTCTGGAAACTAGTAAAAATGAAGGGAATTACATTCTGGGGTACCTCCTCTATGATGAAGATACTTAACCAGAACTATGCCATTATTCTGTGGACTTGTAGTGTCTCTCGAAGAATTTTTTGTTGTTGTTGCCATTAAGAGGGATCTCTCTATGAAATACTGAAACATTCCTTTGGACCTTGTGGATGAATGCAGAGAACAGAAAAGGGATAGGTGTATGTGTATGCGTTTACAAAGGACCAAATCTGGTAAGAAGGCAGAATTATGTCTCTGTTCTCTACTTTGATGACCACTCTGCCTGCTCTTTCTCCCAGATGGCCCCCCGTCACACCTGGTTTTCACTGTCCAGCTCTCTGTAACATCCTTTAAAATCAGCTGCCTAACCTCTAACCATGTGTTAACCATGTGTTCTTTGAGCACATTGCATGCATCATTTTCTGATGCTCAGACCAAGAAGGAGGAAAACAACTTCAATAATGCAAGAGCAAGATGGTTCTTACTGGGCTTATTTCTGGCACAAAAAAGGAAAAGAATGACCTGTGAGATCCAAGTAATTCCCAATACAAGATTAAAACATGGCTATATTTAAAGTTATGATCCCTTGGCAGAGCAGAAAGCCAACCGTGGTTGGAATGTATCCTGCAGATACATCACCAATGCAGTTTATAGCACCAACTGGGTAGGTCTATGGCAGGAGACAGCAGCCTGAGAACTGTGCCTGAAGTAGAAAACCTTTGAGAAACATCAGTGGTCCTACGTATAACAAAGATTGATATTTTCATCCTTCACACATTTAGAGCCTGTGCTTTCCTATTTACAGTGGTCTGATATGCTAGGACTGCTCATAAAGCCTTTGGTGGGAGCAGTTCTTGAATACATTTGACTTTGACATATTTTAAAGTGGAACATATTTTTAAAACCCCAGTTAATAAAAAAATAACCTTAGAAGATGGCTGCAGGTAATGTGGTATGAACTCATTGTTAAGGGGAACAGTATTATTCTGCTGGAGGACAGAGTCCTGAAGGCAAGCTTGGAACTCTTCTGTGACTATGTGATTTTCCTCTTGATGATATCGAGCTCTCTCACAAGATCACTGAATTTGGGTCGATTTTCAGGCTTATAATCCCAACACTTCATCATAATTTTAGAGATATCCTCTGGACAATGCTGAGGGGCTGACATCCGGTATCCTGAAGGCCCAAGAGAATAACAGAGAATTTAGAATGCAGATAAGCTATAAATGTTTACAATTTATAAAATTTAGTGTCTATGTTGTAGGTGTAATAGAAATAAAATTGATTTCAAGGCACAATTCTCTATCTCATAGGTGGTATAGAATTTAATATTAGAGCCATCACTTAGTTCAAAAAACAATTTTTATTCATTTGTCAGAAAGTCTGAAATATGCATATACTAAAGAATATTGTAGTTGCTTAAGTATTTGCTTCTAGAATTATAATTTGAGGGCAGGCTGAAAAAATCATCTCTACAACTTAGGGTTTTGAAGATGAAGAGAGATGAGGATTTTATAGGCACTAGTTTAACAGAAGTGAATATGAGTTGTTCTTTTACAAGCGGCTGTCTGGCAGGGTCCTAGTCATGTGCTGCATGGTGTGTTTGTCTGTAAACTCAGTTAATTCAGCAACCCTTGGGTACCCAGCTGCTAGGGCCCTGCCATTTTATCAAGAGTGCTCTTGTTGAAGCTGTGGACTACAAAGGGTGTGATCATTACCTACTTACTCCCATTTCTGATCTGGGACCACATGACAAGTGTCACAAATCATTAAAAGTTTCTTCCTGAAGGCTGAGCATCTCGGTTATCAATATTGCTAAGGGGTTTATTTGGTTTGGAGGTTGGGGAACAGTACCCTGCTTCCCTGTGTGACACTGAAGATATCCTGCTGGGCAGAGAAGAGATGGAAGAAAAGCCTAGCTCTTTCCATTTCTAGTGTGTTGTGATCCTTTAAAGTACTTGTTTTCATTGTGTAATGTGGGGGACTCGGCCAAAGAGAAGAGATAAATTGAGAGAAGTTTAATTAGTGAAGCATATTGTATCTGGCCATTGTTTTTCCCCTTTCCCCAAGAAAAACTGCCTAGCTCTGAGAGAGGTCCTTGCCCAAACAGGTTTACTTCTGATTTTGTTTTTTCCCTTACACTTACGTTCTAAACAAAAGACCTCTTGTAGAATTCTTGGCTTTGGAGCTTCTTGTGGGAGTCTGCCTAATGCTGGGTGCTCTTGGTTGTGATAATTCAATCATGGAGGGCCCAGAGAGGCTCAGTCTGTTCTCTGAGAAATCATTCATTCTCTAGGCCAGCATGGTTGCACACTGAGACAATATGAGTCACACCATCCATCAGATTCAAAAGCAGAGCAGATGCATCTAACATGTCTGCTCTTCTGTACCAAGACAGCACTGGTAACATCTCCTGCCCCCGGCAATCTGGCCAGCAGAGGCACCTGGGGCTGGCTTTGAACAGTCACTGCCCGTGTCTTTGGCTTACCTCTCTCCACTTGCTCCCGTGCTTGCTGATTTGTCATGCCAGGGTACGGACAGACCCCTAAACTGAAGGTCTCCCACAGGAGGATGCCAAAGCTCCACACGTCACTCTCAGAGCTGTATCTCCCTGGAAGGAGGACAACAACCACAACTATGTGAGGCACGGGGGGCAAGGGAGGGACTGTTCCTGTTGGCCACACAGTCACATATTTATACCTGGCCAAGGCACTCAGCTAATGATCCTGTTCTCTTCACTCTTTTTAAATTTTGGGACTACTGATGTTACCAAATGAACAATCTTCAGGATATTAGTTTAATCAAACCATAAGACCAGATAGTTCAGCAAGCATGCCACCTTACTTACGGTATTCGAATGAGGTGAATGATTTATAGGGGGAAAAAAGTATACATCAGTGCCTAGAAGATTAAATAAGTTGGATTCCTGCATTTTGTCTTCTGCCTGCATCATTTTCTTTCTACTAAAATTACAAACTTAAAGCAGTAAGGAAAGTTTTTTAACTTCAATTTTTTTTACTCGTCACTGTTTACATATATTCTTACATGCTTAAAGGTCTCATTTTTTCCACTGATAGTTTCATTTATGGAAAATATATTTTTCTATGCATTTTGAATAGAGTGGAAATTAACATAGCCAGCTGATAAAAACAGCTTCTTCAAATTACATGGTGCCTTGTTTTGTTAAAATATCTTGGTGCACCTGTTTTATTGAGCTATATGAGCTAAACTCTGAGAATGCATTGTTTTTGGTAGCCTTGAGGAGAAGCACAGATAAAAATCAAGACAAGATGTCTTTTGGAGATGACGTGAAATAAAGGAGGGGCAGCAGAAAAATTATTTCCAGTCTCTAAGAGGAGAAACATTTCCAAGACTCTCGCAACACATTTGTATTTTTATTTAATTTGATGTACAGGGCATCATAACTAAACTAAACTACACTCCATCTACAATGGTGAAGTTTTCTTGAATGACTTCATTTTCTATTCCTCTTGTAGCTTCTTGCCTCAGCCCTGCCACTCCAGGATTTAAGAATGCCCCTCCTCTAAAAATGTCCTGTTTCTTTAAAAGAGAATGGCCTCTTCTCTTTGTTGAAGAAAGCAGAATGAAGAGGAGAGTGTCCCTGTGCTCTGGTAACTGTCCTAAGCCTGGAGAGCAGTCAGTGTCCATCAGCTCCAGCTGTTTGGAGTGGTGCCCTTCTAAGTAGACAGTAATTAAGGACATTCACTGCACTGTTGAGAGAACATTAATTTTCTTCACTGCATATCAATGCTTTTCATGTTTGGCATCCAATAATTTAATACTTTTCACGAAAGTCATTCAATGGCTGCAAATTAAGACTAATTTCTTTTTTAAAAAGTAAGTTATCTAGAGTCAAATATCTTAACTTGTAGAAAATATTTGGGCAGAAATCAAGACAGGCACATTATATATAAACTGAAATCACACTCCACAAGTGAAGTTTATAACTTAGCTCAACTGACTTTTGAACCTGGTTTTGCTGGATAATTTTAACAGGCCAAGACAAGTCACAATTTATAGTATAGCATTTTGTGGCTTTTCTATCTCTCATTTGATCCTTATAATACCCTTGTAGAGAAAAAGGTACTATCATCTTCCACTTTACAAATGAGGAAGCACGGGCAGAGATGGCTCACCTGATTCTGGACTCTCAGCTAAAATCCTGCCTCCTTTGCACTTCAGAGTATGTGTGGTTATGTCACAGTACTTAAATTAGAGAACACAGCAGCTCCAAACTAGCAGGTTATAAGTGGAAAGCTTTCTTTTCAATAATTGACGAATGTATGATTTTACTTCTTAGGTGGAGATGAGCATCATATTTGCTTTTTTTTTTGGTGCCGGGATTGAACTCAGGTCCTTGTACTTGTGAGGCAGGCGCCGGAACCACTGAGCTAAATTCCCGGCCTCATATTTGCTCTTAGCAGCACCAGTGGTGAAAGCTATGACTGAGGATGGTAGTGATGCTTGTCAGTCTTTGAATATGTTTCCATTCCAAATTTAAAAAGCAATTGTTAGGGGGCAAATATATATAAATAAGCAGTCAAGAAATTGGTAAGAACAGGACGAATATGATAAGAATATTTGCCTGTAGGAAGAAAAATTAAGTGGCTAGAGCTAGTGGTGCACTGCAGACCCAAGGATATGTATCATCTTTACAAAAATTAACATTAACCAAATAAAATTTATCCTATATCCCTAAGCCAAAGTTTTGAGAGGTTCCTTTGATGGGAGGTTTTATCCATCTGCCCTGACACCACACTTCATGGGAGATTTGGGCAGTAAGTATTTCAACAGTCAGAGCCAAGAGTGAAGAAAAGAATCAGTGGGAAAGAAAAGAATCTTAGAAATGAGGCTGAAAGTGTCCACCAAACACAAAATGTTATTTATACCAAACATGAAAGAAGTAGGAATAGAAATAGGAAGTATGACTAGAAATAGAAGAAGTATGACTAGAAATACTTGTGTTTTTCTTGTTTAAAAAATGCCAAGATTTAGAACCAATCTTTAGTACTTTAATGTTTATGAGAACCAATACAGTTTCTCAGGATGGCCTGCGCCTTGTAGACTCTTTGAGGAATTTCTTCAATGGATTGGGTAATAAATACTAGAGACTCCTTCCTTGTCTACCTCTTTTTCATCTGATTTATTCTGCATCCTATAAAGTTAGTATAAAAGACTGCTAAAAAGTGTCTCTCATTGTCAATCAAAAATTTTCACACCTGTTCTTATTAAAAAGCATTTAGGTCTGGCTATTAGAGGCACCTGAAATTAGAACTCTGATTTGTAAATACTTTATCCAGGTTCAGGACTACAATACAATGGTCAAGAGGTAAAATTTTATGTGGTATAACTTCTGAAATAGAGGATTTTAAAAGGCTATATAAGGCAGAGAATCTGGTTAACAAATTCAAGGGCTGGATTTTACTGGTATATTTTTTCAGGACTTCCAAGTCTAGGTACAGCTTCCTTTGCAGGTAAAAATGCTTTGTCATCTTTTATCCTGGATTGTTCCCCTCAGCAATATAACCCTAGAATAACAACTGTACCAGAAAAGAATCACTACGGAAATTATCAGGCCTGCCACCTTCTCTGGATTATAAGAGTAGATTGGTTTGCAGTCAGTAGGAAATGTAAAAAAAATCTCTTCTCCTGGCACACAGAAGACAAAGGGTGAACTAGTATTATGATGGTGTCTGAATCAGCCCCAACAAGCTTCTTAAACCAACTGCATTCAAAAGCTTTACCTGGAAAACATTTGGTGGTTCCTCCAGGAGTTAAATATAAAATGACCCTATGGCTCTGAGTATACACCTAAAAATAACTGAATACCAGCACTTAATGAAACTTCATATACAATGTAGCTCTAGTCACAAGAGCCAAAATGTGAAAACTGCCCAAATATGCATGAAATGGATGAACGCATAAACAAGCTGTGTTACATCTACAGAATGAAATATTATTCGGCCTTGAAAAGGAATAAAGTACTGATAATGCTCAATGTGAATGAGCCTTGAAAACAGTGTATTAAATGAAAGAAGCCAGACATAAAAATCTACATACCTAATCCCATTTATGTGAAATATCCAGAAGAGGTAAACACACAGAAATAAAATGCAGATTAGTAGTTGCCATTGGCTGATAGGCAACTGAAGAGAAAATGCTTTAACTGGGTAATTTTATTTATAATGAAGAAAAAAACCAAAACAAACAAACTAGATAGAGACACTAGTTGCCCAACATTGTGATTAACATTAAGTGCTACTGAATTGTTCACTTTAAAATGGTTAATCTAACCTTATATGGATTTTACCTCAATTTTTTAAACAGGTTAGCTTTCACTTAGGCATGACATTAAAGCATTTATAATTTCTTTATAACTTTTTATGATGGGGTAATTTTTCATTTTTAGTCCAAGAAATATTTTATATTTTAATTCAAAACATATGCATTCACTAATCCCTAGGTTTCAATTTTAGTATATGTGCTGCCGAAGTGAGCACACCAACCCCTAGGTTTATATGCTGTTTCCATTAATGAAAATGTAATCCCTAATTTCAGTTAAAGCACATTCTGGTCTTTTTTCTGAATTCTTGAGATTACTCACTTATTTGGTTCATTTCATCCTAACTACAGATAATGCAAGCTAATCTTATGTCCATTTACAAGGACACAAAAAAGTTCAAGTGAAAAAAAAAAATCACTGTTTTAAAATTTATTTCCCAATTCCTGCTTTCTTCAAGATTTATGTAAGTTCCAGAAACTGAGTGACTAAGAAACTATGTTGTTTTGGGGGTGAGAAACTAAGGAATCAATTGACTTGATGTTTTAGGAGCCCAATATCAGAAGAGGCTGTTGGACCATTGAAGACATTCCGAGGAATGGTACAGACCCACTGCACTGTCTTACTCTGTGTGGAATCTATTAAAATAATCAATTTTGGGGGAAAAAACTCTCCAATCTATAGTCATATTTAAAAGTGTTTATGTCTGGTTTTTCATCTAGCATTCCTATATACCAAAATCTGACCAATAACTTCAATGAATTAAGTTTGTGTTCAAGTCTAATGCAGTGGATGAACATTTATATACTATTTGTGATTGTCCTCCAATCATTCCCACTTGCAATCTGCTTGTGAATGTTTTGTGCTGATACAGTCTATTTTTACCACCACAAAGAAAACCTAATTCTTACCATAATTAAGAGCTTCTGGTGCTGTCCATTTAATGGGAATCTGCTTTAAGCCAGAAGATGAATACACACCACCATCTTCTTGCCGAGACATTCCAAAATCACTGATTTTCAGAACGTTGTTTTCACCTACCAGGCAGTTTCTTGCAGCAAGGTCCCTGGGTTATAATACGACACAGAAAATATCTATTAAAACAAATTGAAAACCGCTTTCACATTTATGACTGCCACACTTTGCATTTTTACATTTGCAATGTATTTATAATAAGGTTAAGAATTTAGCTAGTGATTTACCAGTACTTCCATCTTCTCTCTCCTAGGTAAAAATCATCTGACAGAACATTTGCATATGGAACAGGCCACATGGTAGTTTTCTAGGCATCACATGTATTTCCATTTAAATAGAAAAACACTAGTTCCAAGGTTAAGAGAGAAAAATCACAAGGAAGAGGCTAAGCAAGCTTGGCATTATTTCTCCTTTGACTGGCGTTCCTAGGGCAGCACTGCCTAACAGAAAATTCTATGAGCATGGAATGTTCTTCTCTACCTGCACTGTCCAAAAAGGGAGCAGTTAGTGGCTACTGAACACTTGCAGTGTGGCTAGTGATACTGAGAACTGAAGTTTTAATTTTGTAGTGGCATGTGGAAAGGAGCTCCTGAGTAGCTCTTAACAAATTATCTCTAGAGCTTCTCCAAGGCTGGAAACGCTACTGCATCTAGGAGAGGCAAAACTCTACATGATGATTTGGCTGTCCCTTCCATTTCACCTTCTTCCATTCTCCCCAACACTGAGTATATTCCAGTCCTGTCTCCAAATACAGGATGGCTTCCCTAAAAATGGCAGGCTTTGTTTCTCCCATTGGGCCTCTGACTTGTGTTCCCCTCTGACTGAGTTTTCTTCCTATATTTTTGTATAGCTGATTCTTCCTCCAAAAACTTTTCACAGAGGTCTCTCTTGACAAACTTATCTGACAGGAAAAAGCACTAAGTCTTTAGTTATAGAGGGGAGGGCACTCAATAATCAAATTTATATATAAATATGTATAAGAGAGTGTATCACACACATACACAGAGTATGTCATATAGTGCTGGGTGTGGAAAAGAAAAAAAGTTGTATAAGGGAAAAAGATTAACAATAGGGAATCCCAGTGTAGACAGGCTGGTAAGGAGGTCTCTTTGATAACGTGATACTAAACCAAAGAACTGAAGGGTGGGGGTTGGATTTAGGGAGTGTGACAGGCAATTGTCTCCTAATGTCCATTTTATTCCTATTTTAGTCGAATGTTAAATGCTATGCTTTCTAGTGTGCCATACTTGTGAGTTCTGGCCAGTGAAATGTAAGCATGTACGTTATCTAGAATTTCTGGGCAGCTTCACTGAAATGAAAAGGATGTGTTATTACACTGTCCCTCCTGCTAACCTGAATATGGCACAATGGAGGGTTCGGAAGAGCAGCGAGAAATCAGTGGCTTAGTTCTGATGAATGCAGAGCTTCTGGACATATTCTGAACTGACTACTTCTGAACCTTGGATTATTACAAGGTTTTGTTTTTCTGTGGGAAATTCCTATATCACGGAGTTGGTTTTCATTTGTTAGGTTGTTTTCTTTTGGCTCATGCATGTGTATGCTGGACACACTGAGTTTGAGATTTCTATTAGGTATTCAGGTGGAGATGTTGAATAGGCATTTGGATATAGCAGTCTGGAGGTCAGAAGAGAGGTCTATGAGTTGTAGCTTTGTAGACAGGACTGGAAAATACTTTCAACTACAGAGACTGTTGAGTTTTCAAAGGGGACTGAAGGATTAGGCCCTAGAATAGCAATGGTGAACCTTTTAGAGATTTCAATGCTGAAATCTCTGTGCTGTGGCATACGTGCCATAGATTCACCATCACTGTCCTAGACTGTGCCCTAATTTAGAGAAAGATTAAAGGAGAGCTGTATTTCCAATGCCCAGAACAGAATGTCACACACAGTAGGTGCTCAATAAATACTTAATGAATGAACAAATACTTTTTTATCCTAGAAATGTTCTCTACTAAAAGCAAGTTGTCTATTCTATGCTTCTTTTAAAGTTATTTTCTCCTGAGAATCAACTGGTTTCATTTTTAACTGATATAGTTTGATACATTTATCTTTGGAATGCATCTCTAAACATTAATTTTTTGGAACTCCTGAGTCATATTTAAAGTTTAATTTATATGACTGGCTTTGTAACATGGGAGATACTTTGAGCAAAAGACACAGAAACTGCTGACTGGTGATGGTGATACTTAAGGGTAGTTTGATAATCACAGAAATAGTATTTTTATATTTTACTGGATGTCTTGAGAGGTAGTACCCAAAGCCATTCAGGAATGTGAAATCTGTTTTACTAATTTGCTAAGATTGTTTTGTTTTTATTCATTAGATCAAGTCTCACAATGGAAAGCTTCACAAGAAGTCCAAGTTTAAAATTAAAGCTCTGGCTTACTTCCTACTTTTGAAATAAAGCAGACTACCATGAACTCCCACTGGTAGAGTTTACTGCCAGACAAAGTGAGTAATAAATGAATAAATATACCAGATTTTCACTATCTTAATCTGTAGGAAGGAGCTATCCATGCTGGCTCAGGAACTACAAGTCCTACTTTCAGCTGTATAAAGTAGATGCTAGTTCTAATCACTTGTGTGATATTGGTATATTTCATTTTCCTCCTCTAAAAAATACAATTTAGCAGGGTGAAGTGCGTGCGATGTCTGTCAAGTACTGGAATGCAAAATGTCTTCCACAAGCTACCCTTATTGTTTCTAATATTTATGTATGATTATTGCTGCTGCTGTTGCAACTGCTATTGTTACAAGAGGCATTGGTACAGGATGCATAAATCATTTCTCTTTTTCTTTTTTTTTTTGAGACAGGGTTTCACTATGTAGTTGAAAATGACCTGGAACTCACTATGTAGCCCAGGTTGGTCTCGAACTCACAGTGATCTTCCTGCCTCAGCCTCCCAAGTGCTGGGATTACAGGCATGCACCACCACGCCCGGCATAAATCATTTTTCAAAAGAAGCTTTTAAGGTATGTCTTGATCACACACACACACACACACACACACACACACACACACACACACACACACACACACACACGACCTATCACTTGAAAACTCGTAACAGAAAGCCAGGTTTGTAAAACATGCTTCTGGAGGTGGACTCAGTCTTATATACATGTTAAGAATCTTTGGAGGTATTGAAATTTCTCTACATTATAGGTGTGGATGGCTCAGTAGATTTTTCCTTTCCATGTGTATTTCATCACTGTTTACAAAGACGGATCCAGAAAGGTACTGGTGTTTACTGACTGACAAGTTTCAAGTCAGGCTGTCTGTTGTTTCTTTAATTTAGATTTAGGAACTCCCCTTCTTTCACTCTTTAGACTCTCCCAAGATGGGAAGGAAAAACTGCTCAGTAACCACATGAGTTATAGAATATTAAATCTTTTGTTAATAAAAATAATTCCCCGGTACCCCCCAAAAAATCTGTTGAATTTTTGCGAGATTCTAGACATACTTAATTCATGGGACCGATGGGTTAACATTGCATAATTAAAAAAAAAAAGCTTTTTGAAGAGGACAAGTGATCTAGATAGTACTTCTTAAATTCTGGACCCAGTTTGTCTTCAAAATTCACCTTCTGTAGCATTGAAAGAAAAGTAACACACCACACTTCTGCCGATTATGATTAAAACTTCAAGATGAACTAACAGATATACTCCTTGGAGTTTCTTCAAGGTAAATATGGGAATATAGCAAAAACTTTCAGGGGCTGGGGATTTGGCTCTGTGGTTCTGCCACTGTGCTGCCTGCCTCACAAGTGCCAGGGCCTGAGTTCACTTGCAAAATCAACCATACGGGAGTGAGTATTCTGTCCCCTGTGGCCCTTTCCATTTCTCTTGCAGTTGTGCCCTAAAAGCAAGCTCTAGTTATATAGTAATATAAGACAGTAGCACCAGTTCCAGTGATTAAAACACCAACAGAAACCATGTCGTTATTTATTTTTTTAACAGAGGGAACCCAGAAAAGAGGTAGCTGGTGAGCCAGAGAAAAAGCTCACCTGGTTCCATATGTAAACCCGTATGTATCTCAGCCTAATCCCTGAGTTACATATATGTGAGGCAAACCTGCACCCTTTTAGAAAATTAAATGATGTTTAAGGAACTGCCTGGGTGGAAAAGTAACACGACTGACTGTGTGCTAAAGACAATCAAAGATAGTATTTGTGGTCTTGGCCTAGCCAAGATAATTGTTAATGATTTTGTTTTAGTAGAGAATCTCCTGAGGAATATAACAGGGACTTAGAACCTATACAATACAACATTCACAACATCTAGCATCAGGGGCACGATTCAAAATTAAAATAGAATAAGGAAAACGTGGTGGGGGTCATCGCTTATTGATAGTGTGCTTAGCATGCTCAAGGTCACAAGTCAAATCTCTACCCCCACCCTTAAAACAAACCAACCAAAACATAAAAAGCAAAATATGACCAATTCTAAAGGTGAACAGAAAATGTAATCAACTAATGCCTAACTCCTGATAATCAGATAATTATGATAATTAGAACAAGAAATACTTTTAGGCAGCCATTATAACTATAGACCGTAAATGAAAACACACTTGAAATGGACAGAAAAGCAGTTCTCAGAGATTTAGAACCATAAAAAAACCTTAGAACTTAAGACATCTGAAATTAAAAATTCACTTGACAGGCTCACAAGGATGGGTAAAATATAAAAGATTTTTTTCCTCTTAAGTTCTTTAAAATATGACTATTTATAGTAAATATGGTATTATTGGGTTGCAAATTTTCTATATTTTACATAAAGTAGTAGAACGCTAACTCTTACAGGTTAGATGTGTATACTGCAATCTCCAGAACTAATGAAATGAGGCAAGGTGACACAGCAGAAAAGTCAAGAAGAAAATATAATATTAAAAGACTAATATCAAGAATGAAAGGGGTTATTACTACTAATTCTACAAGTACTGAAAGGATAATTTACTAGAAAAAATTTTATCCAACAAATTTGGTAGCTTAGATGAAATGGATATTTTTCTTAAAAATATAGTATTAAAACTGAAAAAGGAATAATAATAAAATCTAAACCTTCCCCAAAG